TAAAAAACACTCTAGACATATCTAGTCTGTAGCAAATGACCTGAATAGTACTTTCCAGAAATTTTACATGGATGCATCTCAGAAAGCAAGAAGAATAAAGCTTGACTTAAGGAACTTGACTTAATGATGACGACAACAACAACAACAGCATGATCCATTCAAAAACATTTATTCCATTAGGATGTTTATTGGTCTTATACTTAACTTTCTCACTATACACATATAAAAGTATTTATGATGGATGTCCTCAATCCTATAAAAACATTTCTCTGAATTTCATTGATCACAGATGTGCTTATTTCAATCTGTTGTGTGCCTTTGCCTGCCTATCTGTCTGCCTACCCATCTTTTTCTATCCTTCTATTCTTCATTCTATGAAGGAAGAGTGATTTTGGTGTCCCCTTCTGTTATGGGTAGTTTGCATTGATGTCCTGTTTTCCCAGTCATTTGTAGATTTTTTCCCCATTACTTTTTTATGGATAAGATATCAAAGAGTTGAGTGGTCTCAAAATGTTATTAAACAAACAAATAAATAATGTCTACTTATTCATCCATCCCTCCTAGCATGCTGTGTCTTCCTCCTGTAGTTTCCCTTAAGCAAATACAGTTCACTTTGTCATCCTGTTTCTGTAGATTCACCACATTTGTTTCTCCTTCTTGCTTTCTTTTAATTGAACATTTATTGATTATAGTTCAGTGGTTCGAATCCCTAGCGCTGCGTAATAGAGTGAGCTCCTGTTACTTGTCCCAGCTTCTGCCAACTTAGCAGTTTGAAAGCATGTAAAAATGCAAATAGACAAAATAGGAGCCACCTTTGGTGGGAAGATAACAGCGTTCCATGTGCCTTTGGCGTTTAGTCATGCCAGCCACATGATCACAGAGACATCTTCAGACAGAACTGGCTCTTTGGCTTTGAAATGGAGGTGAGCAGTGCCCCCTAGAGGCGGGAATGACTAGCACATACTGGTATGTGTGAGGGGGAACCTTTACCTTATTGATTACATTTTGGAGTGAAATAAATCCCTATGGCAGAACACTGTGAACAAATTAGCTATATCATGATTAGCAAATAGAATTGATCAGTTGTGCAGATTCAATGAGATATATCTGGAACTTTGAGGAATCCAGAACAGGTTCATTTAAAGACAATTGAAACAACCCAGCAGCACTTTTGAACTGTCACAGCAGAATTAGAGATTGTGGGAGAGATTTAAGGTTTAAAGCTCTATCTAGTGGTCAAACAAAGAATTAGCAAGCTGAAAAATTTGAGTATTATTCTGGATAAATTCTTGAATATTATTCTTCATCTTGATACAAAATGAACTTTCTTTCATAGATGTGTTGAAAGTATTTATCACAAATAATCAATGCATTGTTTTATTTGACCAATATAAGGAAATAATCAGCGTATCTATGTAAAACAGGGGACGTACTCAGTTTTAAAGTTCAGTTTTTAACTTGCAACAAATTTGCTAATTTTGCCATTTCAATATTTATAACTGGAAATAAGCATTCTGTATATTGCATATGAACGTTCACAGGCAAATTATTATTTTTTCCATATACTAAAATTATTCAATCTATTACTTGGATATCTTTAATTTTAATGATATGATATAGATAAACAGATAGATAAAAATTACCTTCAAGTAAATATGCAGTTTTGAGAATATATTGCTAATTTTCAGATTTTACTAACCATTTTCTAAAATTACATTTTAAAATTTAATAAAAGATGAACAAAACTGAATCAAAATGATGTATTCCAATTTCAAGATGCAGTATTATCATATTATGTGAGGTTTGCTAACATACTAATCCAGGAACAAGTAACGTTAACATTGGTAGAATTTTAGTTAATCAATTGATTTAACATTGACTTTCTTCGACTCTATTAAGTAGCAGGATTATTTTTAAATCAAAGTTTGCTCACCAAACCTTAATGATCATGTTTTCATCTATAGTAACATTAAATCACACTGAGGATTTTTACACGGCACTGCAAGTCAAACGAAGCATTCACTTTATGTTTTAACATGATGTCCAGTAATTGAACAACAGAAAAGCATGAGAAATTTTCTTTTTTTAATCACACAGTTCAAATAAGTCCTCCTCTGTCTCCTAAGGGAGTAACAGCTTTCCTGAGCCTGGCCCTCTCCCACTCTGATAGAACAACTTCTGGCATTCTGAGTCAACCCTAGGCATTCTTCCTTCTGAACCATTTAGAATTTTAGGCTGGAATTCACTTCATCATAATACTTTGCTTTGCTAATTAAAGCAATCTTCATCTTCCCAAGTTGTTTTGCAAGCTAAATTTGGCTACTCTGAAAAGTTAAGAAGAATAGGCAGTCCTATTTGCCCTGGAGTGCCACCCAGAGGTTCAGGATGTAATTTCTGTCCTCAGATGTTTACAATGATGGGCAAGCTTGTATTAGAAGGGTTGTAGGTACCTCTGTGTGTGTGTGTGTGTGTGTGTGTGTGTATAGATAGATAGATAGATAGATAGATAGATAGATAGATAGAT